TCACCACTACCAGCTGGGCCTCCATCAACACCAGTGGGCCTCCACCACCACTAGTTGGACCTCCATTACTGCTAGCCAGGACTCCACCACAGCTATGCAGGTCCCCACTACGACCACTTGGGCCTCCACCACAGCCAACTGGACGTGAAGCAGAACAAGGATTTAGGAAAGTACTGTACTAACAGAACAGATCAGGACAGAGATCCAATGCATCTACACAATCAGGGATTAAATTTGAGCCTCAGAAGATTTTCCCCACAGCGAAACATGCAAAAATCTGGTGGGACAAAAAATAGTAAGCCAAAGGTCGTTATCGGTGCCCATTAAGGGTTAGGGTTGGAAGCCCATTACCAAAGCTGGATTAAGTGAAATTCTTGTGAACAGATTCTAATTTACATGTTTTAGGCTTGAGCGAAACATTGCTTAATATTAACATCACTACGAGCTTAATTTATATGGTGGGTTATAAATGTTACGGAAATGATAGAAAAGCAGGTAATGGAGGACGAGTGGCGAGGTATTTAAGGGATTTTATGATGTCAATGGAAGTCGCTCTCAAAGATGAATTTGTTGGGAGCTGCAGAAGTACCACCTTTCTCCAGCAGAGTCCGCCGTGGATCCTCCTGAGTTGAGCCTCCTGCACAGCTGGAGCTCATTCCATCATCAGAGGATCCACAGTACTTAAGCTGTCTTCAGACCTTGCCTCAATGCCGCAGTGTTGATCCAGTTGGTTAGCACCTAAGCCTAGTATCTCTGTAAACCTTTGTTGACTTTTGAAGACTGGCAAAGACAGAGGCAAAGGTTAGAATCCAGACTGGATTCTAACCTTTGCCTCTGTCTTCCAGGAAACCTGTTTTTCTCCTGTGAAGCTCTGGAAGAGCTTAACCTGCCGAGCCTGCCCTCTGAGCCACACCTGAAGCCTCTCTCTTAACTTCCATGCAGCTCTGGACCAAGAGCTGGAAACTCAAAGCCAAGGTCTACTCATTCTTAAGAAGTAAGACGCTGAAGCAGCTTACGGACTCTGCTGATCAAATCCTCTCCAGATCCAACAGCCTCCCTCTCAAGGCTTAAACCAAGAACCCTCAAGGTACAAATCAGAAACTGTCAAAAATCAAACTCCTATGCGCAACGCTAACTGAACTGTTTCTCACGCAGACTCCGGTGAACCAGTTTCCCAGGCCTGAACCAGTCATAATCTCTGTGCTTGTGTCAATAAACTCTGTTAAACCTTTTACTCCAGTTTCCGTCTCAGTGGTGATCTGCATAATTGGGTCACACCAGTGAACCCATCATGACAGAATTTAATTTTGACTAAATTTGTGTTGAAATTTCATTGTCATTAAACATGCATTCTAAAGTAGTTGTTTAATGTAATCCTCCTTCCTGTAGCAATATATTTTATGGTTAATTATGTAAACTTATTAAGTTGTTGGGCCATAAGTCTTAAGCAATCATACTGGGGGATTTCAATATAGATCGGTTCAATTCTGGTAAAAGAAAAAACGAAAAGCTTTATTGTCTAAGTTTGACTTTATTCAAGTTATTAAAGCACAGATCATTTTTTCCCCAGTAAAGATGATTGTATCATGAAATCATATAATTTGCTAACTGGCTTGTCTGACCTCAATATGCAATTATCTTGTTGCATTTCTGTGCAACAAGATCATATCTTGTTGCACAGAAAGGATCCAAAAAGCATCTGTTGAACATCACCAAAAGAAGCTCAAATATATGGACAATCATGCATTTCATGCATGATCATGCATTTAACATGATTTTTTTTCAATATTGATAATGGTATTAAATGCACTGGGCTGGAATACAATACAAAGCAATAATGAGGTACACAGCTACTGCAAGGAAATAATGAATATGCTCGAAAAGATCCTTTCCAAATTTCTTAAAAGGCAAAATACTGTTACAAAGAGCTTACGCAAACACAACTATCTATTCTACCTAGTTCATCCAAGAAGAGCACTTATTAAGCATCAGATGGAAAGGAGGAGGGAAAGATGATGTTAGTCTTTTGGTTCGGTGGAGTGAAGGTCCCATCTCTGTCATACACAGGCGAGAGCGTATCGGGAGATGGAGACCAACAAGACCTCCCTCATCCTTGGCCCTATCTCAAAGAATTTTTCAAAATAGTCAAAAAACTGAGCTTTCAATTCATATAGTGTTATCTGACTGTTTATTTTAAAGGTTACTTTATACCTTTAGTAAAGAGGTCAAGTTTATACTTGGACTTTTACCAGAGTGTTTTTAAACTGCAGTATCTATACTTCTACTTAAGAAACAAATGTGTGTACAGTTGACACCACTGGCATCACCAAAATTAGTGCTTTGGGGCTCCTGGAAATTTCCCCCTTGCTGAAGTGATATAGGTGATGTAGCTAGTGGTCAGTCAGGCAGTGAGGTAGACATTATGGCGGCGACAACAATTGAACTTGAAGAGCAGCTTTCACACATTTCAGTGAGATCTTTACTGAGTTACCCAGAAGCACGATGGTGGAAAAAATCCATGTAAAGGAGCTGGGACCTTTACATTTAACGCAGCGAACCGAGCAAAAAACTAAATCCTAGAACCGGAATTTTAGCAGGAGTTGGTTCCAGCGTAAGTCGTGGCTGGCAGCCTGTGGGACACCTAATGCTCCTTTTTGTTTTCCCGGCATTCTTTTAAAAAGTGAGGAGAGTGATTTGACATGGACACAGTCTGGATAGACAGACTTCAAACACCTCTCTGACAGCCAGGACTGATTTAAAACACTTTGAAGAAAAGGCAAAGACGAATGAACAATCTGGGATCACATGGAAAATAACAGAATATAGTGTAATTTTTCTAGATGTTTGTTAATTTGCAACCAAAAAAAAAAACTCTTAAATACATTCTCAGAAAATAAATAGTTTTTGATATATTAAAAAATATAAAGCTGACAAATACCTTCTCAATTATTAAACATATTGTATTTTTAGGTTGGTGACTTCACAGCCTCAGAAGGGCAAAATTTATGGACAATAAGTGAACCTGGACATGAAATTATGTTTTGTTTTTATAAAGTTTTTTTTAAAATGTTTTTTGTTGTTGGCATACATATAAATATAGTGGTGTGACAACTTAGTGTATGTTTGATTGGTTTTTGGTAAACGTCTATTTTGAATTTATAGCCCCCCCCCTGGAGAAAACTCCACTAGCCGTCACTGGTGCTTTTTAAAACATAAACTCAATACTTATATTTGTAATAATTCAGAGGTCACACATGAGATCATTATCTGTTGATTTTGCATATTGTGCCTTTTATTGTGTGTTTTATTGTATATTTTGTTTTATTGTAAAGAACCATCTAGATATTCACATCGAGAATTAGCATTTGCTAAAATGTAATTTGCAATATAAGCTTATGAAACACACTTGTCATTATTGAAATAAATCTAAATTAAATAAATTAGATTAAATAAAACTCAGATTGTTTTTGGCATTTCCAGCAGGGTACCCTCTGGGGTGGCGAGGAGTTTGTTAAGGCTAGCAATTGCCCACCATATTTACCGTCTGACTCCTCCATTGCGGCCAGCAAATGCAGCAGTCTTATTTTCCCTGATGCGTGAAATTAGACAGACATGCATTAAAACATGCTAAATGTGGGACATCTAGTCACCCAAATATGGGTGCATGACTGATGAGTAAAGCTGCGAATGTGAGGCAGGAAACGGAAATGTGAGCATGCTTAGTGTGAGGGATTGCTGAAGAGTCAATGAGTCGATACAATCAGCTGGTTTTCCTTAGATAGAAAATGTTGAATCAATCTTACTGGATGATCTTAAATATGATCTTTAATATGTAAATTAAATCCATTTTAATTGAAAAGGACATGTTTCTATGTAACAGACTATGAAGTTAAATGGCAGCCCTCATAAAATGACTTTGTGAGTATGAAAGGACACCTATATGCTGTATTGCGGCTTTCAACCGGATCTTTTTGGATGCTGAGAGTTGGGTCGGGTCCTCGTTGGTTGCCCTATTTGTGACTTAGTATTTGATTTGATACGCTGACATCCAGAATGCTTTTTGTTTGGTTTATTAGCACCAGCATAAGTTATGGCTGCACAGCAGGGATGAATATAGCAAACGGTTTGAGATCAGTTGATTAAGATGTGGAAAGTGAATGAATACTGAAAAACAGAATGAAACGAAGCGTAGTGAATTGAAACAGTCAAGCTGAATGATGGCAGCCCCACCCTGACTCTCATCAATGAGACAGGTGAATGCACACCTATACACTTACTTCTGTGGTCCACACACCCACCTCATTTGAAGTCTCCACCTCCACAACACGCATTCATAACCACGCTCACCATGCACCACATTTCCATTTATGTCTTCTACATGTGGTCTGAGATCCCTCTCATTACATAATTGTGTTTTTTTAACCCCTAATGTGTCCAACAGACCTAATTATGGATTTTTTTTATTATTATGGTTTGCACAGAACTCTCTTTACTGAATGAAGAAAGGAAATAGTGTGATTGGCTTTAAGGAGGGAAGAGACAGAGGACACTAAGATTAAAGAGAAAACCCTGATCCTGACCAGGTTAGTTCCAGGGACAATGTCACTACGGTAACAGAAACAGAGGCTGAGGAAACTTACTAACAAGAAACACTTGGAGTTTCAATAATTTTATGCTCAACAAACTTCAGGATTTCATCAAACTTGCTTCCTAAAACAGACCTCTGAGCTGGACCCTGGGCTATGAGAGTTTTTAAGGAATAATAACTTGATCCAGATTCCTATAAACTAGAGCCTTTCTGTCTAAAGCATGATAGCTATTGTCTCTCTGAATCAGACCAGAACTTCCAAAATACTTTTTTTCTAATATCTATGACAATATGTGTTTGAAATTGTCATCTCACTCTAATTAGGGAGGGGGACAGATTCAAGAAAGGAATGAGCAACATGGAAATAAATATACTGATAATGAAAAATTACTCTGTTTGTGTGGAGCCTCCATCATCCCTCCTTTATGATCCAAACCTTCTCATCAGAAAGAGTTCAATGATGCAGCAAACACTCTGATGTCTGCTTTATTCTCAGCTGCACAAACAATCAGACTGAATCCTAACAAACCATAGAGGAGGAACAGTGTGTGAGGCCCTCTAGTGGATGCTGTGGAGTATTGCAGGTTCTTGTACAGAGTTCTGGTGTTTCCTGTCACTGTGGGCCTCACAGCACAGTAATACACAGCAGAGTCAGTCACTGCAGCAGAGGGGATCAGCAGGCTTAGATCAGTTCCCTTCACCTGGATCTTCAGTCCAGGGATTCGCTCATTTTGTATTTTTCCTGATCCTAAATGATAGATCAGAAACTCTGGAGGTTTTCCTGGATACTGTCGATACCAATAAAACTCATCACTTGCCCTTGGTTCGTTAGAGAATCTGTAGGCCAGAGTAACAGAGCTGCCCTCTATGGGGAAGGTTTCATCAGCCAGTGGAGTGAGATCTTGAGAACAGACACCTAAAGGAGGAGAAATTAGTTACTGACTTAGTTCTAAAACTATCCTGTGAATTACATGCATACAAATTAAAAGAAAATAGGGTTTGTGACTTGAAATAATTTTCTGACCTGTTAGAAGTGAGGCAATGAGCAGAAAAAGCCTGAAATGTTCCATGAGAGCAGAGTTACTGATTGTGTGTTGAACTGTGTTGAATGTGGAAGTTAGTGTCTCTTATAGTTCAGAAAGAGCTCAGCTCCTCCCTGAATAGCCCTGCCTCCTCCTCCTCTTCTTCTTCTCTGGAAAATCAAAAATGAAAACAAAAAAACTATATTTCAGTTAACATTAACTATAAATAAAAAAACATAATTAATTAAATGGATATACTCTGAAAATGTAGGTAATATATATTTTAACTGAATCCCTGTCAAAGGAGAAACTATCGCTCCCTGATGGTCTGTCCATTCACAATCTGGGACTTTGATCCCCAAAGTAAATACTGGCTTTACTTTTATTCGAACAGAGTGCTTTAAACCAAAGACTGTAGAATTATAAGTTGATTTTTTTTTCATATGTTTCTCAAATTACTAAAGTATTTTCTATAATCACATAAAAACACACATAGCCAAAGCCAACGTTTCACAACTCATTTGAAAGCTTTAATCCAACCGTTCTAAATAAATACCTACAATGTTACACAACTTCAATAAATCAAATAGTCCAGACCTTATTTTCATCATAAATAAGAAGGTCAAAACAACAATATACTAAAACTAGTCCTTAACAAACGGATAACCTCATTAAGATAAGAAAATGCTGAACATTATTTCCATGAACCAGGGGCAGATAGTAAAGCAGAAGCTGAAACAGACCAAATGTGGAAAATTACACACAAGCGAGCTTGGGCAGGATTCAATCCCCAGACTCCCAGGTGAAAGTAAGGCATGCAGACCAATCAACCATGGGGATATAACTTTGGCCAGGTCGCAAATGTCAATAATCAGTCGGAGGCATAGTGACAGCACCCCACACTGTCACGGTATCATTACTGAATCTGCACACACCTACAACTGCCTACAAAAAACAAAAAGCAAAAAATAACATTGTAGTCATATCAGATTTACATATAGTCCGACATATTCTTGGAAGTGTGGGCCCCAGCTATCGACTACTTTGGATGGCCACACAGATAAAGAGCCTCATATGCAAAACAAGAAAATCTTATCAGCCCCCGTTGTTTGTATCTCCCCTCTTTTTTTCATGATCTGGCCTGTTTGCTCTCCCTTAATTGGTTATTTCTTTCACCTGTCGTTTTCCCTCCCTGCCTCAATTATAATTTATTCCTCTCACCTGTTTCCTTTGGTTTATATTCTGTTCAGCCTGAGCATTCAGTGCCAGATCATTGTTTTCTGTTGGTCTGTCCAGCTCTGTTCATTTGATGCCACGGTTCATGTTCAGGATACTGGCAGCCAGTGGAAGGAGGGTTTTGTGTTTGTCTCGTTTCCTATTGTCCACTGTTCCTCCCCTGCTGAGCCCTCTGGGTTTTTGGCTCTATACGCGGGGAGCTTCAGTTTTCATTCCAGTAAGCCTGGCACCAGTTTAAAGGTCCTGCATTCAGTTCTGGTTCCACGTCCTGTCTCTGCTACCCTCCTTCACTGAGAATCCCAGTCTGCACCTGATCCTGTCTGCTCCTGTGCGTGACCGCCTGGTCATGCTTCGGACTCTACTGGACTCTGAACCTGCCTGGAAGCTCTACGAGGCCTGGATCCTGCCTGTTCTGTCTGTTCTGGATCCTTGACCAGGATCGGCTTCCTGCAAGACCTCTGGGACTGAAGCACTGGGGACGTCACTTACCTGTGGTTCTTCCACTTTATTTATTTATTTTTTTCTCCACTACTATTGGGTTTCATGCTCTTTGTAGTTGCATATATGAAGACACATTTGTATATATGTTGGATTATTATGTTCTTAAATAAAGAATGTTTAAAAAAAGATTTACATATAGTCCACACACTGCAAAAAATATTGTAATCTTAAATGTCAGCCAAACCCATTTGCACAGATAAAACTTTTCAATAAACCAAACATTACCCATGACACATCTGACCAAATAATCATGTAACACAACTATTTTCATTAATTTCAGACAGAACTATTCACATACGTACTTGTATTATATTAAACTCCTTTTTTCTCTGAGTACAGAGCAACTGGCTTGCTTAGTCTCGCAATGCATCATGGGATACCAAGGCCACGTAGGATACAGCGGACCTGTTCTTCAAAAAGAAGGATGAATTTGTTGGCTGTTTAACGAGGAGTATTCCAACCCGAACAGGCAACAGTGTAATGAAGTAATCAGCCATCAGATCCAAGCACTTCACCTATGCCCCAAAAGAAGAAGTACAGTAAATGAGGCCCTCTAGTGGTTATAGTGCAGTATTGTTTAGTCTCTGCTCTGCAGGTTCTTGTACAGAGTTCTGGTGTTTCCTGTCACTGTGGGCTGCAGAGCACAGTAGTACACAGCAGAGTCTGACAGACGGAGATCCTGGATCGTCAGATTAAATGAATTCTTGTTGCCGTTGAGTTCAGCTTTGAATCTGTCTTTGAAATCCGGAGCTTTATCTCCTCCTGATGAGAATCCTTTCAGCATGTACTTTGGGAAGCTGTTTTCTTCTTGTTTATACCAGAACATTGTTGGAGTGAAAGTGCTCTTATAACTACATCCTAGAGTTACAGATTCTCCTTGAGCAGCAGCAACATGTCCTTCTGTCTGCGTCACTGAGTCTCCTTTACACTCTGAGGAAGAACAGAACATGCAGAGGAAGAGATGAATCAATAAAGATGATTGATTAAATTAAACAAAATAAAGATCTCTACTCTGTGTACAGTAGATGTAATTTTCACTGATTATTGTTCAAGTGTTTGAAGAGGAAACATGTTGAGCTTTCTATCTTACCAAAGAAAAGAGCAGCTAGAATAATCCACAGCCAATGTTCCATCTGTCCAACAAGGTTTAAATCAGCAGGAGAAACTAGCTGATGTTCAACATTCAGTCTGACTATTGTTCTCTTCACAGCAACACTTATTATTGACACAATGCTGGAACACAGAGCACAAGGAGAGCTCCGCCTACTGGATGATGGCGACCTCTAGTGGAGATAGAAGATTGAGTCAAACAGTGGGGAAAATAGGCTCTAGCTGCTTATCCATGGGTCAAATACTTAATGCCACAGAACTAAAATTATTATCTGTGGGTTTCTATAGGTGGAAAGTTGTCAAAAAAAAATATATATATATTTATAAGTATGGATAATGCATATTTTCTTATGTTGTCACATAAGGAACGGATAACACCTGCTACATGAAATGATCTCTCCCCTAATATTAAATCTGCCAAAGTCCAAAAGCAGTCTTACTTCTGCACTGGAAAAAATGGAAATCTAGATAAGTAATTTTTTCTTAAAATAAGTGCATTTTTTCTTTGATTTTGCCAATGGTACAAGACAATTTACACTTAAAATAAGAAAACACCATTGGTTTGTCTTATTTTGAGTGCATATTATCTAATTATCTTATGTTAAGAGTAAAAACACTCATTCAACTGGCAAATCATCTCATTTACCTACTCAAATTAAGGCTAAATACACTTAATTTAAGAAATGTTTATTTATTTCTATTTTTTTCCAGTGTGGGCACATTTCTACTGTATGTCTCATGACATCATTTTAGGTGGAAGGGGTAAAACTTTGAAAAAGAGGTAATGTTCTGTCAAATTCCTCCTGGTCATTCATTTCATGGATCAATTGCAAAGAGTTGAAAGAAATATTCTATAGCATTGATTTGTACTTTCAACCTGGGATTTCTATGATAACTTTGTCCATTTGTGAGCCTGTCAGCTGAAGTTTCTGAGTTTATGTTTCCAATCACATTATCAGAAAAATGCTAGTGCCCAGTTCTTAATGCAGATAGCTAACCAATGATCAAAGCTACAGAAGTTAAATCTGCTTCCAGCTGCAATCACAAAAGTAAAACCTTTCAACTTTAATACAAAATATCCTGAAGCTCGAGTATAGTCGAAGGATTACAATAATAACTAAAAGTATTAAAAGACCACAACTCTACCACGAAAAGGAATAATTTAAAAAGACAGGTTCTACAAAGTATGTGCTAAAATGGCTGATCAATTATCAACTAACCAATCTAACGACATCATGTGTTATCTAGATTAAATGTGAATTCTGGATCTTTAAAGAGTAAATAAAAAATGATTACTAAGGTCATACACAGTTGTGCTCGAAAGTTTACATACCCAACCATTAAAGAAAATTATAAATTTACGCCAGTAATTTAAATAAAACAAAACTGGAAAAAATAAATAAAAATGTTAGAGAAAAGTTAGTGAAATAAAATACTGATTTGTAATATTAATTTTACATATAATTCTATATAAAAAAACAACATTCCCAGAAAAATTTAGGTACCTTACTGATGAACAGTGAACCAACATACCTGTCAACAGGTGCAGAAGTTTGACTGAACATTTAATGAACATTACAGAAACCACCTGATTTCAGAAATTGCCTGAAATTGCTGCTCAACAAAATGTTTGTTCAGGTGCTGCATCAACCTATTTTACTTGTTTTATTTGTTGATTTATAAATATGTCACAGTTTCCATTATTTATAATTTATTATCACTTTTGTCAAATTAAATAAATTTTACTGACAGCTGATTTTTTAATATTTAACGGGAGGGTGTGTAAACTTTGAAGCACAACTGTATATCTTTCTGCAGCAACCGTCTTGTTAATATCACAACTCTGCTTAATTAAATCAACAAGTCGACTTTTTGGTAAATGCCCAAATATAAATACATAAAAGCCGAAATTAGAAGATAAATACATTTATAAATGCACAAAAAGGAAGGCAAATACACAAATAAAAGAAAAAATAAATATAGATATACAAAAAGACAAAGGATTAGCCTTTTCCTGGATCCAAACTTATTTATTTATTCATGTATATATTTATTTATTTTATATGAAGTTATTTTTTTTATATTTTAATTTATATATATATATATACATACATATATACTCCAGATGGTTCTACAAATTACAGCTGCAAGAGGCATTGGGCGGCTCTCTGTCTATTATGGCCAGAGGAGCCTCACACCGCTGCCCCCATGCCTACGCCTATTTGCTCTAAATTAGACCTGCCTAACAGCTGTTTTGGCCATTTCCTCTTCCATAGGGAGCACGGTGAAAAGAAAGAACTTCCAGCAGTGAAACATGAGTTTCCTGTTCTTAGGAGGCGGGGCTAAAGTGATGTCCATAAACTACCAACTCTATGAGATGAATGCTGATCTGAGATGACACACAGGGAAAACAACACTGCTCTGACTATGCATATTGAACTTAAAACACCAGTATCTTATAAGGGGAGAGTTTACGTTTCAATGCTTAGTCACATCTACATGCTTTAATCCAGAAAAAAATATTTGATACCTTTTAATCCCCAATGCCTAAAGTCTATGTATGGTGAATTTGAAATCTGTAACTCAAAACCTCAGCACAAGTTTGCTTAGATATGACATGAATAAATGAGAGAAAATGGCACGTTTGATTCAAAATGGCTGACTTCCAATTGGGTTTAGAGCACGGGTCCAAGAGACTTTTTTAGTGTGTCCTGGTAGGTGATGAATGTGTACCATGAATGTGTACCTCAATAGAAGCACGGCCTGGGGCTGTTTTGCTTTTGTCTTATGGCAACACAACTTTTGTTCAATGTCAGCAGTTTTCCAAGAATGAGCATGTTTTTTTTTTCATGTGTGTGTTTGAAATGTCTAAAGAATGTCATATTTGGGACCAGAACCTTTTGTATGTTAATGTCTACCGTTTAGTTACAGTAGACATTGTGTCATTTCATTGAATTTGCAGCTACAACAAAGGAAGCACTGATCCATTCATATTTTATGTTGTTATGTTAAAAATAGGCATCAGTAAACTAGCTGTGAGCAAGATATTGCATCAGAAAGAAAGCATGAAGGTTTAAAATCATAACTGATTCCATATGTCAAGGAGGAAAACAGGAGTAACCACTGAAAAATAGCCCCACCTCTGTCCTCTATAATGGAAGACGTTGGGGTCTGCAGTACAGCTATATCTCCCTACAGGAAGGTTCACAGCTAAATGGAGCACCAGGCCAGATGCAGCTACTATGATAAGAAGACACTGAGAGAACATAAAGTTAGAACTTGAACTAACAGAATCTAGCAGAGTGAGGAAGAGTGGTCCCTGCAGCCTATGTCTCTGAGGGCCTCTAGTGGATGTTGTGGAATATTGCAGGTTCTTGTACAGAGTTCTGGCGTTTCCTGTCACTGTGGGCTGCAGAGCACAGTAGTACACAGCAGAGTCAATCATCACTGCAGAGAAGATGGTCATGCTCATTTTTTCTTCTTTTGCTTCAAATTTCATTCTGCCCAGATATTCTGCTTCACCAAAGGAAGAGTGGGACTTCAGGAACTCTGGAGGTTTTCCAGGATATTGTCGATACCAGAACAAATAGCTGGTGGAACCTTTGTTGTAACTGCAGGACACAGTTACTGAGCTGCCCTCTAAAGTGAACTCCTCAGTCTTCAGTGCAGTAAGTTGTTGACAGTTTATATCTGAAAGAAAAAAAAAGCCAAATAACTGAAGAATAGCAATGATCAGCTTTTCCTATGTTTGACTCCAACCAACCTGTTCCAAAGAGCAGGACCAGTAGAATAAATCCACATTTTTGCACAGAGAGCATGTTGAGAAGATGTAGTGATTGTGTTGAACTGTGTTGAATGTGGAAGTTTGTCTCTCTTCTATAGTTCAGTAACAGCTCAGCTCCTCCCTCCTGGTAAACCGACTCACAGCCTTTTGTTGTCAGCTTGAAGTTGTTAAATTAGAGAATGTGTTTGAATGCAGAAACAAACAAGAAAAAGGAGTTATTGTCTTTGTAAAGGACTTTCAAAAATAAGCTGATCTGTCAGTCACTCTATATGTGTGATATATTTCATTGAATTAAGATAATAAAAAAATGAAGTAAAAAAAATCTTGGTGTTATATTTGATCAGGACCTCTTTGATTTAAATCCCATATCAGAGGTTTTATGAGTTTTTCTTTTGCTGAGAAACTAGTCCATGCATTTGTTACTTCAAGGCTGGACTATTGTAATTCTTTCCTATCAGGAAGTCCACAAACTGTAGTTAAAAGCCTTCAGCTGATCCAAAATGCTGCAGCCAGAGTCCTGATGAAAATGAAAAAGAGAGATCATATCTCTCCTATCCTGGCTTCTCTTCATTGGCTTCCTGTTAAATCCAGAATAGAATTTAAAATCCTCCATCTCACATATAAAGCCTTAAATGGCCAAGCTCCATCTGATATCAGAGATCTGATTGTTCCTTATGTTCCTAGCAGAGCACTTCGCTCTCAATCTGCAGGTTTACTAGTGGTTCCTAGAATTTCTAAAAGTAGAATGGGAGGCAGATCTTTTAGTTCTCAGGCTCCTCTCCTGTGGAACCAACTACCAGTTTTAGTCCGTGAGGCAGACACCCTGTCTACTTTTAAGGCTAGACTTAAAACTTTCCTTTTTGATAAAGCTTATAGTTAAAAATAGAGTGATGTTTATTTAGTTGCTGGGAACACCCAAGGAATTACAATTTAGTCACAGACAATCTCCTGCGCTCTACATTGGCCCTACTGTAGCTCTATATTAGAGGTCACGGATTAGCGGACCGTGGTCCGGATCTGGACCCACCTGCTGGCTAATCTGACCCAACCTGATTTAAAACATTTATATTATTACTACATGTTGTCCAAGTGTCTAACTTCACTTGCACCGCTTCTCCTGTTAATACGGTAAAGCCCTGGGGAGCGTCCAGCTCCAGGCTGCACGTGATCCAAATGAGCCAATGAGCTGTCGGTCTGGGTTGCTGCTGCTGCTACTTTTAGACACAGCAGGCAAACCTGTGGCAAGCCGGGCGATGGGAAAGAAGGAGAAGACCATGAGAAAAAGAGAGCAGAGAAAGTGTGGACTGCTGGAAGAACTGCGGTGAACTGGTGAAAGAAAA